GTTTTAGACATTAAGGTAAAATCTCCAACTAGTAGTATAATCCTGTGCAACAAGATTTTAAGTTCTCCTGACAACATATTTTAGTAGAATTCCTGCAGCCACATGGAACTAATCTCGTACATTTTCTAACAATTACACTTTGAGATCCTTAGGTTTGAACCTTCGGTTTCAATGAGCAGCCCTTCTATTTTCAGATACTTTTCAGTTTGCATCTCCACTGTGAACTAACTGCTTGACATCGTTTTGAGCAAGATACACATATACACATACTCAGATTTTGCTTACTTCTTGATCTCTGCTGAATGTGAGTGATCCCTTGATTTGCTGACTTTTTTTTCCCTGGAGCTTTGAGTCTTGGATTCTGAGGGAAAAAGGGATAAAGCAGTGGTTGGAATTCCTCCAAGTTTGGGAATGGGTATGCATGGAAGTATACAGGATGTGGAACATGTGGTCCCTGCTGGATGCTGTTGGTGAAAACATGCCGAGCTCCCATGTGAAGGGTTTGGCGTGTGTTTAAAATGAAACCCAGGTGTACAGGACATCTAAGGTAACTACTACAACTGTCAAGTTATACTCAGATTACGTAGAGCTTCAATGGATCTACTGGTACTGATGTGTAGCTGAACAAATACCAGAGCACTGGGAAAAGTAATAGGCTACAAGGAAAAGTGGTTAACCTCCCCCCCCACCTCCCGCCCCCCCCCGTGTTTTGCAGTAAAGATTATTATTTTTATTTTTATTTTTTATTTTTTTAATGCAGCAAGTAGAGTGAAGTAGACTTATTTGTGAGAGTGTTCCCTGGTGTATAAAGACATGCACCATTCTGGTATCTTTCTCTTACAAAGACAGAAAACATGTTACCTTTTTTCCTAATATTCTGGAAGTTGTTTGTGACATAAAAAGATACTTAGTTTGTAATGTAGACTAAAAGCTGTGCAATGGAGAACGTAGGGAAAACCTGGCTGTTTGCTGTCCCATGCAATTACCAGATGTTTGTCATGGTAACCCCTGAAAAACTCTGACCAGAAAAGCATTCTTCAGAGGCTGGACATCATGCCAGCTGGCCATGTAAGGCTTGCAATATCCAAAATAAGTTTAATCACCACCTGTTGCTACTTTAAAAAACAAAACCAAAACAAAACAGTAGGGGAGAAAAAGAAGCCTGAAATAAGAGAACTCCTAGAATAAGCTAAAATTAAACACATATCTATTTATTCTATCATTTTTTTATCCACTTTTTTCCATTGCTGTCATACCTGGAGATATCTGGAGCTAATAGATTGCATAACAAAGTTTCTACTGGGTTCTGTGTAAATTTTAATTGGAATCAGTTCTTTTAAATGTCTGTAGAGCAGGATTTTGAGAGGGTGGGGAAGTAGCTATACTTGTAATAGAGCATACATCCTAATTAGAATGAAAAAATTGAACAGGAAAACAATTAAGAAAATAGAATCCAAGATGTTAGCACATCTTGGCTGCACTAGCACAAGGAAAACTGGGGCTGTCCTATGACTCAGACATTGCTTTATATTGCTTCAGTATAGCAGACAAAAGGTCAGTGAAAGCCTTGGAATCCTGTTAGTTCTTATGCACGTATCTATAGGTGGAGTAACTGAACTATTAGTCTCAGATGCAGAGAAGTCAAATTCTTTTGAAAGGAAGTTGTTTGCAGTGATTTATTACTAGACTTTTCTGTGAAGAAGAAACACCTCATTGAGGAAGTTAGTTTTTAGAAGTCCTGAGAATGAGATATTAAACTCTGAACACTAGTCCTGGTGGCCAGTGCTCTACTTAAGGAAGAACGGTGATCCTGAAGGTATATTCAGGAGGGACAGAGGATATATGAACTTTGTTTATTTTTTTCATGAGGAATTTTCTTTCACAGGATGCCGTTATATCTTACAAGTATACGATTAAAAATAAACTTTTTCTTCAAACGTTCTACAAATATTATCCACATGTGACAATGAGAAAAGTCACTGAGAAGGACTGTATTTTTTGGAGGACTCTGAAATTCACAAACTCTCCAAGTGTGACTCTGGCAGAGACAAGAAAAAACATTACTGAGGCTGAGTTGTGGAAGAGATCTACTCTACATAATATATAATGCTTAGTAGAAGCCTAACAGAGCAAAATCTTTCAATGCCACATCTGACAATGAAGGGGAACAGCAGACAGATGAAAAACATCATGCTTAATTTTTATTTCTGATTGTCTAAGACATTTGAAGGAAAGATTTGCCCAGAGTTACAATAATGCCTTTGCTGCTTAATCACAGAATCATATAATGATTGCAGTTGGAAAGCACCTTTGGAGGTCATCTTGTCCAACTCCCCTGCTCAAGCTAGGTCACCTACAGCTGTTTTTTTCATATCTCCAGTGAGAGAGATTCTACAAGTGCTGTGGGCAACCTGTGCCAGTGTTCAGTCACTCTCACAGTAAAAAAGTATTTCCTGATGTTCAGACAGAGCCTCCTGTATTTCAATTTTTGCCCATTGCCTCTTGTCCTGTCCCTGGGTGCCACTGAAAAGAGTTTAACTCTGTCTTCTTTAAAACCTGTCTTCAGCTCATTGATGACTGATGTCATTGTGAGACCACTCTCAATTATCTTCAAAAGTTCATGATGATCAGGAGAGGTATCTGAGGACTGAAGGAAAGTAAATGTAATTCCTACCTTCAAAAAGGGCAAGAAGGAGATCCCAGAGAACTACAGACTGGTTAGCCTCACCTTGAACCCTGGGAAGCTGATGAAGCAACTAATTCTGGAAACCATTTCCAGTAACTGAGCACAGGCAAAGATTGCCCAGTAAATCATTTCCAGTGACTAAGCACTGGCACAGGTTGCACAGTAAGATTGTGGAGTTTTGCACCTCGTAGATATTCAAAAGCCAGCCAGACATGGTCCTCAGCAACTGACTCTAGGTGAACCGGGAAGTTGGATAAGGTGACCTTTAGAGGTGCCTTCCAACATTAATCACGATGTGGTATGGGAAGCATGTGCTACCCTTTATGTTTTCTTTCAAGTTATCTTCCAAAAAGTAAAATTCTTTGAAAGTATAAATCAAATATGTATTCTGTGACTTGTCCTAAACTTTGCCTAAACTTTGGCATCATATATGTTAGAATGCTGCATTTGAGAGAAGACTGAGGTAGCTAGTATTCTCCTTCACTGTCAATAGGAAGCTTAAATAGAGGCAGGTTATTCAGTGGCCCAAATGCAGCCATTGGTTATTGAAAGTCTCTGAAAATTCATGCAAGAGCTATGTTCGAACTGAAGCTGAAGAATGTTTTTACATCTCAGTCACAGCAACTGACTGTCTTTATAAGTTACTTCTCTTTGAACTGTAGTGTTCTCTTAAACTGAGTTATTTACAACAGTTATAGGGTAAAACTAGCCTGACATGAAAGGTCTGGTTACTGTATACTCAAAATATGCATTGATATCAATAATTTTATTATACAGAAATTCAGTCATATGTATACTGTCTGTGAAAGTTTAGAGATAAAGCTCTGTAAAGTGATGTATTTTCATGCATTCAGAAATGTTTTTTTTAATGCTTTACTAAATGATAACCATTGGATCAGTCACAAAGTAATGTTTTTGTTTTAGTATGCCTGTTTCATCTGGGTGAGCAAAATCAACTTGGCATTCAGTGCATTCTTTCACATACATGTGTGTCTAAACCAGAATATCATGGTATAAAAATTTAGATTTCTGCACAGGGTTCAGTCACTGGAATTAACACAGTGTCTGTGACTTCACTGGCCAGGAAAAAGTGTATGTCATAGGTGTTGGCAGGAGATGTTACTCTTTCAAATTTGTTCCTGGACCTAGCTTACTTAAAAAAAAAAAAGAATGTATGACAACTGTATTATGGTGAAATATATGGGTTTTTTTTGTAAGGAGAAGGGCTGATTAATAGCATTCATAATAAAGGCAAAAGAAGAATAGAGATTATTTTAAGTCTGTTTTGAAGTGATGCTTCATAGGTATAAAAATAAAGCTCTGAAATGAGGTATACGTATGTAAATTATAATTCTGAATGGGGTTGAAACTTGTATTAAAATATCTTTTAACACTGAAGAAACTAAATTTAACACTGAAGCAACTCTAAATTTTCCTTAGCTTTGTAGTGACTACAAAACTGTCAGTTCTTTACAACCATGGATTTTTTTTAATATGGATCTTAATCTTCATCTCATTAAAATCATCATTATGTTTAAATAGGCCAAGTGTGCTTGGCTATCAAAAACTTACTCCACAATGCTACCTTACAATATTAACATGAAAAGTAGAAAATTAATTTCTTGCATTAAATTTAAATGCATTCCTTCCTTTAGACTCTATTAACACAGATAGGTAAGAAGTTATCTATAGTTGTATCAGTTTGGAATATCGTTTGGATATTGCCTTCTTGAATTTACAAGAGACAATAAATTAATACATGGAGTAGGAATGTAAATAGAGCAACACAGATTAAATATCCAGATTTGGGTATAAGAAAAGCAAGTAATAATTATTTATGTTATGATTCCACACACTAGATCTTTATTTGTTATAAATTAATCAAGGAATATTTCTAAAGCTTCACCAAGCAGACCGACTTTCACAACAGCCTCCCCTTAATGCAGAGGAGTTTGGCTTTCCCTGCTGAGATGGCTAACAAGAGGTAGCTTAATAGTAGGCATCAAAACTCCTAATTTCTAAATGCTAATAATTTTTCTATCTTTGTAAACAAACAAGACCAAAGCACAGTTTTAGGCATTTTCTTGGCTTAGTTTTTTGTGTTTTTTGGTTTTTTTTAGTCATCAATATTCTTTAATGTCTTTCAGTTTTGTCAAAATTCTGCCACGGAGATGTTTAAAACTCATTTTGTGGATTTGCTTTAGTAAATTTGTAGATTAAGAAAAGTGGGTAAGACTTCAGCAGGCTTTCATGAAAATGGCAGTAAAATAGCTTGTTTTCAGTTGGTGTTAATATGATTTAAATTTCTCTGAAGGTGTGAACGTCGTTTTGAAGGGCACACTACCTGCTGCTATCCATGTGGAATTGCAATATCTCCTTGTGGACGGTTTATAGCCAGTGGATCAGATGACAAATATGTAAGTAATGTTTTTTGATTATTTTCCTCCTAAGCTATAGGAACTACTCACATTGTACACAAAGTAGTCTTTTTATGCATGTTTCTAAGATTCGGCTTAACATTCAAACCTGAGTTCTATTACACTTACCTACACTTCATTTATATGTAGAAGTTACATATAGTTCCTGATCTGTATTTTATTTTGCCTGAAAAATTCCTGAACAACCAAATCTTAGTGCTCAAAGTGATTGTTAAAAGTGTTTCTGAAAGTTTTCATAGTGCTTGACCCTGAACTGCCATGTGCCAGCAAAGACGAGAAGAATGGTATGCCCTGTAGCACAGCACAGCTTTATGTAGTATGTACATATTTGACCACTAGGAACTATGTAGCAACTACACATTAATTTACTTAAGCTCTCAAATACAGGGTGATGAATCTTTCATTACTGGTTTCTTATGAACCAGTCATCTAAATAAGAAATGGAAAGTCAATCAACTGAAATTAGCACTTTTCATAATTCAGCTTAATTTTGACTGTGTGTGTTTCCTCCCCAGACAGATTCTCTTCTAATTCAATGTCAACTGTATTTAAATCATTATGCTAGCAAAGAGCCTTGAGGAAAAGTGTACTGTTACCTTTATGAGTATGCATCTAATTTTAATTCAGTAAGTCCTGCATTGTTGGCACAATGTTTTTCTTGGTGTTTCCTATGAGACAGATGATTGCTAGCTTGTAGTATAGGCCTTTGAAACTGGGCTGGAGCTGGTTTCATTGTAAACACATCCTTTAAAAACAGCTGGGTAGGAAAGCTAACTTTTCTCTAGGTCTTTCTAGGTGACTCATCAGTACTATGACACATGGTTTCTGGTCAACTTCAAATTCAGAACAAGGTGAATTTACTGTTGTGGCTAGTTTTGAAATACTGGCTCTAATTGTGTGAAGGTTTGAGATTTTATTGGCAGATTGCTGGAGGCTTGGCAATAGCTAATGTGATTCTTGACGTTTCCATGATAAAATATATTTTTCAAGTTTCTGGTAATTTGCTTTTCAAAATGTAGTTTGCAATACAAAAGAAAGGCTTTTTGCTTTGTCTGTGAAACAAAATGCATCTAATATTGATCTTAGCTCAAGAAGTATATGACATAAATATATTTAGTCAAGATTACTAATTAAGGTTGATTTTTGATAGTATAAAAAGAGATGCAGTCGCAAGACATTTTGATTTCTCTTTTGCATTAAGGCTATTGTTTGGAATTACTGCTGATACAAGAAAAGAAAGGCATAGAACATGATTTTGCTGTTACTCCAAATTCTTGGCACATGGTTGCTTGTCATAGGAAGCTGAATAGCTGGACTGCATCCTGCTCCAGTTGGCATGTGGTCCCTGGTGGGCACAGTGCCAGTCAATACTTTTTAGTGTGGCTCCTGGGTTGGAATTTTGTGTAATTTGCATAATCTCTCTGTAGAGAACTTTCATTGTTCTTGTTGTTGCCTCAGGAAAAATGAGTCAAGTTTCTGACTCTTGCTACAACTGTACTGTTAGGACAAAATACAGTTTTGGGGCATTTTTAGGAGGCTTCTCTTTGAAATGTTCAGACTGGATATACTTTTCTGTTTTGTTTTGAAAAAGAAAATTGAACATGGCACTGAATAGTCCATTCATCCTGTTAAACTTATAACATCCTGATGAACTGATGTGCAATTGGAACAGTTTTAAGAGTGTCAAGGAGCCACATATTTTTGCAGATTGTATTCTATGAGAGAATGTCCATTGGAATTCAAAAAGCTGCATCAAAGTTCAGCACTGTGGCTACAAAGTATTATCCTGACATAATGCATTCTGGAAATACGTTATGTAACTTTCCACTGATCAGCAACTGCATCTTCAGTCATCTTGGAGTTTAATTTATCAAGTGCAATGCTTGTACTCTGTGGTTAACAAATTTGATTGATTTTAAAGCTAAAGAAGCAGAATTGGAATATAATTGAGGGACATTAATCTTAAACTGCCTTTTATGTTTCACAATATCTGAAGTGTTTGACAGAGAGGACTACGTTGGCTGCACTGATTAATAGCAAAATCAAAACCATATTCCTACAGGGCATAGACTCAGATAACCAAAATATGTTACTGTAAAGAAAGAGATGCAAATTCTGTCTGCCTTTTTCTCTACTTACAAAGTATATCACCTATTTTATATGAGAATGGCTTGGTATAGCTACCGGGTGGCTGAAGTAGCCACTTGTTTTTATTTGAACTGCTTTTGTGTGTGTTAGTGAGATTTATACATACTGTAAATCATGGGTTGAAGGTGTTCACCAAACTGATTACTCCAAAGTCTTTGAGAGAACCTGTGTTAAGACCTGTGTAGGACCTGACAGCCTGATGAAAGAAGGTACCCACAGTATCCTGGTTTTGAACTGTGGTTATTCTGACCATAATACATTGTGATTAGAAAATGGAGAAAGTTAACATTTCTAATAACAGATCTCCTCTTCATCTTGAATAACCTAAGGTTACAAGTGACATGGTTTTAGTTTTTCTTAATTTAATGCACATAATGTAATATCTTTAACCATTTTACAAGTGAACAGTTTGAGGTTTCTGACTGCCAGGCAATAGTATTAAGGATGTTGGACAAATACTCTAACTGGTGTTAGATTTCCATTTTCCTGGACTCTGTCCAAAAATGTTAACCTAAACATTTGTTGACCAAAGAAATCTTAGTCTAAAAGGACAAAAATATCTGGATAGTGTGAAATGCTACTTTTGAACATACAAATAGCTAATCTTCTCCTGTGCTCCATGTAGTTCTAGTTAGCTGGCTTACTTCATGTCTAATTAGGTTCTTCATTTTTGTCTTTGAAGAGCTTAAGGTTCTCTGAATAAATTCCAAGTTTCCAGAAATTAAGTAGGGAATGCAGAAATAAAGATTTGGCTCTTTAACTGTTTCCAGACTCATTCTTTCTAGCTCTCTGAACTCTAGACTGTAAGGGACACATTTTGACCCTAGTGCTGAAATGGAATTTGCTAACATAAAACTCTGTGTTCATGTCAAATCTCAAAGCCTGGACTCATGGGTTACGCTGACTGACCCATATTGCGAACCCAGAAGTTTTTCAGCATAACTGCTTGCTCCATCAATAGCAAAAACACATGGGTAATGTATGAAGTTGTCTTCCATTTTATTTATGCTTTTCAGCAAAGTATATGATTTTGCCTAAAACACTGTCTTTGAAACACATTCTAAATCCAGGATTCAATTTATGCCTTCCAACTGTGAAGGCACCAAAGCTAGAGAGAGTAGGAAGTTTGTTTCTTCTTCTGCAGTGGGCATCAACACTGAAAAGAGTAAGAAGAGAGAGGATATGGCAATTTGATGCTTATACATAACCACTAACCACTTGTTAATCCCCGAATGTTAACATTTGTGCAGAACTGCTTTTAGAGTAAATTCCCATTATGCAAGTGATGCTGGAAACATATTGGTCAGGGGGCATATCCAAAAAATTCTGCAAAACTGGTCTTGATAGTGCTTGCAGACTCAATTGTTTTCATATACAAGACTCTGTATCTGGCATAACACAAATTGTAGAATTTGTTTGTAGTTGAAACATTAGTTTTAAATAGTTACAGAGGTTGACATTCCAAATAGAATGTCATTCCTACTGAGCAATATACTTTATTGTTTTGCTACCAGATATTTATTTCTTTGTGAAATTCAGTTTCTCAAATCACATATCTTTATTACATAATATATTTTTGACTTTCCCTATTGCATTAGACTAATAACTTCTTTGATAAGGACAAAGAGGCCCCTTCCAACTCCTACCATTCTGTGATTCTGTGACAAGAAAACTATATATTATATAACACAACTCTTAGTTTTATCTATTACATCAATATAGGTACCTTTAAAAATATAATTTCTTGTTTTTTTCTCTCATAAATGCTTTCAAAATACAATGCTACTATCTGTTAAATTCATCATCTACTTTACTTGGCCACATGTAGTTTGACTTTGAAAAGCCATAGTAAAAGGAGCTCTACAATTTGAAGTAGGTTTGGGGGTTTTTTTAATTTTTCCCCTTATTTTCTCTAGTTTATGAATTGCAGTGCACTGGTGCAGAGTGTGCATCTGCTTTTTAGTTTGGCTAAGGAGTGTGCACACCCCTTCTTGAAGCACGTCTCCCAGTCCTCCCCATTTACTGTGCTTTGATTTGTGTCACAGAGTGGTCTTGGATCATGCGGATCAATTCCTTCAGGTGAGGCTGAAGTGGAAGAACAACTTCTTGAACAAACTTAATGCTTTCTATGTACTAAAGGTGTTCAATCTATGGAATCAGAGATAAGATAGCCCAAAGTAAAGAGCCAAAATACATTTGAAGGTTGGATTGACAGCACTGTTTTCTTCTATACATCTGCTCCTTTTGTGCTGCAGTACTTCCTAATGTGATCATTGCCATAGGAGTTTATGATCTATTTCTTGCCTGCCATAAATAAATTATTAGTCATATTAGTCTTGCTGTATCTCAGTTCTGATTTATAAAATGGAGATTAGCAATGGTATCTTTCTTCTGTCCTTTTATCTTTAGAAGAAAAATTTAAATGAGGCCTATCTCCATTTGTTACCACTGCAGGAAGTTACTCTGATCTTATTTGTATGAAATACTTCCACTCCTGCATGTCTGTGGTGTGATAAGATTAGAAACTGCATCTAATTAGGTACAAAATTGCATAAACTGGTCTAGATATCAAAGAGAAAACCATCCCAAGGACCCCAAAATGTGAATGATAAAATTATATGATCGTCCATTCTCCGTTTGAGACCACAATTTCACTAGCACTTCTTGAGTAGGAATGAATGCAAAAGACTACAGATGAGGGAAGAGCCCAGGGGCTTGAGAAAGGTATTCTGGTATGGATGTGTGTAAATGAAGGAGATAGAATGTGCTAAGAGTTCAGAATATTTACTTCAATGTCTCTTGGAGGTGTATCTTGGAGGTACCATTGATATTTGAATTAGGTATTTTTGATACAATAGAGTATGCTGTAGTGTTGACTTTAATACTGTGTTTGTAAAAATAGGAGGATATTTTCTTTACTGGAAAATTACTTTTAGAAATGTCTGCTAGTGGTGTTGTCTAGTATTTGTTGTCTTGGTCTACACTTCGCACTAGAGGGCTTGCAGAACAGAATGTATTATATAAAGCAGTGGAAGGGACTATCTGGGATATTTGGTTTAGAGTGTCAGTGGTATGCTAATTACACGTTGCTCAAGTTTCATTTTATATGTCCATATTGCTTAACTAAGATAAGCTTTAAGAGAACATATCTGGAGAAAATAACATTAGTAATTACTGTGGAAAAACTAGGACTGACGTTGCTTGGCAGAAGGAAATCCATGGCAGAGAATGAATGACAGGGACTGCAACTACCTCTCTGCCAGCTGTTGCTAGAGAAAATCTATCCTTTTCCAAAGAGGAGCACAACTTTGTGTTACTCTTGAACCTCAGTTTCTTGGATTCTTTGGTAGCGTAGCTGGCTTTTAGGCCTGTTATCCTAGGAGGGAAGAGATAAATATTGCTTTCTTGTTAATACAGACATGACTTTAGAGTGTGCTGTTACTTTGCTGTCTCTTTGGGTATATCTTTGAAGATGATTGAAAATCTTGCCTTGGTAGATTATTTTATGAACTGTGGAATTATGTGAGCATAAGCACATTAGCTGCTCTTGTTTGCTTCTTGGTCAGTTCAAACTATTGTTTTATCTGTGCCTATACACCTCAGACCTGACCACCATAAAAACCAAAATGGTAGTTGAGAGTAGTGGAGGATTTTTTGATGACTATAGACATGTGCTTATTTAAGCTGATAGAGAACACCTTTTTTTCTAGTGACTTGATAAAGTGAACTTTATGAGGCTGCAGTGTGTTACTGTGTTAACTTTTAAGTTTGATAATACTTCTGAGTGCTATGTGGAAGTATGAGAAATTAGCCTTTTTGCTAAAGAATCAGAATTTTAGAGAAAATACCCTTTATTCAAATATAGGCAAACCAGGAAGTCAAAGTAGATGTGAATACCCAAGGCTCATTTTGGTATGCGTGCAACAGTGAGGTGCTAAATGTATATATGTATAGATTTATACTCACAGGGCTTGTGTTTTCTATATGTATACCTCTTATTCTGCAACTCCAACAGTAGCTGAATTTTATGTATCATTGATACATATGCCTACAAACTTATTAGTTGATTGCATTGTGCTTGCAAATTTATTAGGATAGGGTAATCCTTTGTGAAGCTAATGAAATTCCATTATGCTTAAACACGTGAATGAAGATCCTCTTAATCATCTGAATCTTGCAGTATCTCTGTCAAACAGTCAACACCAGCACACGAACAGGGAATGCTATTATTAGTAACGCTGATACAGAAGAGAGTCTTAGGAAAAGTCAGAAAAGAGCCGTTTCCAGAGTGGGTGTGATCCAACCATGCTACTTCGTAATGAGAGGTGAGGTAAATTTTCTTAGAACAAAAACTTCAAGTAATAATTCTGCACTCTGCCAAACCTAAGTATGTTATAAAAGTAAAAGCAACCTAAATACAGCAGTGTTTACTGCTACATGAACTCCACAGGCAGACAAATAAAACCAATCAATCATAGATGTGATTGGCTTGATTGATTGATTTGAAATGGCTAGTTAATAGAAACTGAAATCAGGAAAGACAAATCGGAAGCTTCTAAGAAGGGGAGCTTACAGAGGCAAATCTGACATATGGTTTAGATCTGTTTATATAATCTTTTAAGCAAGGACACTTCGAAGTGTGTTAGCTATAACTGTCAGCACGCTGATACATTTGAAAAGTATCCCCTGCATCTTGAAAGATGACTGATCTTGATAATATTACCTGTTTTAATGATAAAGAGCATTATTAATTTTCACCGTTACTCCTTTTGTAGTTATGTCGAAGGAACTCAGATGGAAACTGTGATTTTACTGTAGTGGGCGATTTCCTGGGACTACTGGAAAGACAGCCTCCATAAGTAGCATTAGAAGGGGAAGGGACTGAGAGGGCGTGTTGTGCTCAACATTTTGGTGACGCACTTGAATAAACTTTCCATGCTACCATGTGGCAAATGTATAAGATATCATGGGACTAAAGAGTGTTAATCAATGCTTAGAATACTTGTGAAATCTGTTTTATTATGTGTGGATTTGGCACTGATGCCTATAGTTAAGATAGTCTAACACTTTCCACTATAATTCTGTTTTCAGTTGCTTATAATTGAGAACATTTTGGCTGAAACTTTCCATGCTGGATGTGTGCTTCAGGCTGATTGTTATTTTTTTATTTTAGTATAAGCAGTTCAGGTGCTTTTTCAGTTTGAGATTGAGGAAAAATACGTGGTTGTGCCCCAGGATGAACAGGGGAAGGCAGAGTGCAACCCAAACAATTATATCATGTAATGTGGGAGTGTGCATCAGGTTTGATAGCACTAATGGAGGCAAATGGAGACTAATGCCTTATTAAGAAATCCAGATATCTTCCGTAAAAGAGTAAGTAAGATTATTTATTTATTTTTCTATCAAGAGGCTTGAATACTTCAGTCTTCTGTAGCTCATTTGAAATATTAGAAAAAATAGTTCCAGGAAAGGGATGACTTTGTCCAATCCATGCAAAACTTATGAAAAAAAGAACATCTCTATTTGTGTTAGATCAAATTAGTTATCTTAGATACCAATGTAATTTTTTTCCTGTGATCTGTTTGTAAAATATGTGCTCCAGTTTAAAGCCACAGCAGTTACAAATAATTTTTCTCTAAGCTGGTGTTGCTTTTCTGTTCCCTGTGCAAGAACTGATAACAAAGATAATTTTTCTGTTATGTTTTCAGTGTTTCTCTTTTGAATTTGTTTCCCTCTCTTTCCTTTCCCATGAGGGAGCAGGAGTATAAGTAGTTTGTCTCAAATGCATATGGCCATGGATTGGACTAGGAGGTGGTGGGAACAGATGGGGATGAGTTTGCTTTGAAGACAGAATATAAGAAAACAGAAGAAAGAATTTATAGAGAAACTGCAGATAAAGAGTCAATTTATTTAGCACACTCTCTCTACCAATGCAGTAGAATTAAGTAGTTTTCCATTTGGATATAAATTCTTCCCCTCAAGGAGGGACCTTCACCTTTCTTCCCTGTCTCCTGATACAAACTTAAAGAAGAAAGCACAAGCTTGTGTATATGTATAAGGTGCTAAATACACTCACACTCTTGGTTAATGAAAACTGACTACTTCAAATTTTCTTCAAAATTGAAGTGAAAGGAAACACAAGTAAGTATGTGGTTATAGGTGCAAGAAAGTTGTTTGAAAGCTATTGGTACAGGTAAATGATTTTTACTTTTGGCTGACCCTTGGACAGAAATGGAAAGGAAATACCAATATCTACTGAACCAGTATTTTTATTACAAGAACTTGGTCTTAATATAAAAAAAAGGGGTTGACTTTGGCTAAAGTCTATAGCAGATTATAGCCACATATGCATTTTGGGTATTGCTGAGCACTTCCTAGACTGTTTTGCTTTCTTTTTTTATTACATTTGGTTTGCTGAAAATCTGTTCTTCCTCTGCCATTGAATTCATATTTTCACCTTTTTTTTTTTTTTTTTCCTTCTGTGGCTAGTGTTATGGTATCATTTATAATTCACTTACTATTCTTTTTTTTTCTGTAGAGAATAACATGCTAAAGCAACCTACTAAGTATAGAATAGAATAGAAAAACAATTTGAATGACATCAGAAAGGTAGTAAAACTAGAATGATGGCAGTCTGTAGTAGGAGAATATTTTTACTGGAGTTATTCCACTTTTTATGAATACCTGAATGTCATTTCTGTTAAAATGCAATTTCCTTTGGTGGGTTTGTTTTTTTTTTTTTTACTATTGAACTTAAAAATAAATTTACTGAAAAGTTTATTTTCAATCTTGCACCAAGTTAACTTTTATACTGAGAATGTATACTATCACTGATTAGCTTAAGTATCTGTGACTAGGGTTGCTTAAACAGAAGCTATTTTTATACACTTTTTAATACTGATGTTTTTCTTCTAATCACACTTTTTTGTGTTATGTGTCAAAATTGCTCTGATTCAAAAGATTTGCTATTGCTTTTCTTAGAAGCACAGTTATTAGAAGAGGATAGTATCACAACATAATAAACTATTCTGGGATGTGATCAGGGACTCTGACACTTTTTATGTTGAAGATGAACCACCACACCTAAATATTTAATATTTATAGGGTTAGAAATACAGTGTCAGAAAGAAGTTTAACACTAGTTCTGTTAGGATAGAATTGTAGGAATGAAGTACAGTGGGAAAGTTATGTTCCTAGACAAGTTCTGTGTGTTTTGTCGTGTAGCTGTTCAATACGAAAGTAGTCTCTGTAGTAAAGATCAGAGTAAAGATCTTTCCCATGCTGGTGAATGCTTCAGTGGTTAACGCTGGATGGGCTTCTGCTTTCTCGTCATTACTTTTCTCTGTGTCAGTGAATTTTGTTACACAATGTGATGATGCAGAAGAGTGCTGCATCCTAGCCTAACCTCTAGCTCAGGGCTTAGAAGCAATTCTTGAAAGGTGGAAATTAAGAGTTTGAATGCTTTTTAGGTTGAGAATTGTGATTAGCTAACCTCTCTTTTTAGACAACAGAATACATGCTTGCTAGCTTCCACTGAAGTTGCACAACTGCTTCATATCATTTTTTTGAAAGAAAGGTATGAGACAAATGGCTGATTTGGGAACTGTGTGGAGGGTCATAAATTACTAGAATGCCCAGGTTTCACAAACATTGGCTTTGTTTTAAAAAAAAAAAACCCCAGTGAAATATTATCACACCTATTTTAGAGAGAGGAATTGGTACATCGAAATTAAGCCAAAAATGAATGTGCTCCTCCCCAAATTAAACTGAGAACCTGGAATGGAAAATTAATTTTTATTGGATAAGTTTGGCAAAGTTCTGTAAGCCACTAGGTTATGATGGAAAATTTTCGGCTTCACTAACCATCTCTCTGTGATAAGTTCTCTTGGAAAAACATGGAGCCATGTTTCTTCTTGGCTCAGAAGTTATTGGAAGGCATTGTAGGTCTATGATTCAGAGCATTTTGTGCTCTTCACTCTTGCTGTCCCTTACTTTGCCTCTTCTTTGTTCCTCCTTCCATGAAAGGGAAGGAGTAGAGTAGGCTTGAAGAGGAAAAGTGGCAGTAAGGCAATCTGGCATCAAAAAGAAAAAAGATGGTGAATGATAGAAAGCATAGTCCTGTCTGCTTCCTATACCTCTATGCTGAAGACTGATCTTAGTATGTGCAGAAGAACTGATCTAGGTATTCCAAAAACTTGCAATTGCAGACAATTAGCTTGTGAAGGGAAATAATTCCTTGCAATAAGAGTTTCATAAATCTATTTTACTAGCTCCTCATGTAAGGTGTGTGGAGTCCAGAGGACTTATGCTATGTAGTAAACACCTGAATTTTAGAGTTGATTTTATTCTCTCCAGTATTTTTATCATTCAGTTCTATTCTAAGTTCTCATATCTAACAAAGCTGTGTAGTGTGTTAAGAAACATGATGTGTTCATCCTGTTTTGGTCATTCCCACAGTTTCAAAGGGGATGGACATGTGTAAATAGCTATGAGGAACTGGATTTGAACCTTTAATGATACAAACACCTAAAAATGTAATGGCATTACTGAATATTGTGATACTATTGAACTATGTTGATAAGTGGTCCACAGGATTTTGGTGAACTGTTTGGTAAGAATGATTTCTTCCTGTTTTCATGAATACTCTCTTTCTTCAGTCAGTTAGATGTGGAGGAGCATCATGTTCTGGAGACTGCAGTGCAGCTTGTAATGATTCTTGCTCTTCTTTCACTCAGTGTATGCTACAGACTTCTACAGCATCTCATATCTCATTTTCTTGAGACTTGCAGATTTCCTCTAATTATGTGAGCGTGACCACTGTAGTCTGCTCTGGCACTGTGGTGGTGGTGGTGAAGTACAACCTGCCTGCAGTCTTTAGACCTCATCCTTGCTGGAGTAAAGAGGTCTTTGCTAGCACTCACTGTTCTTGGAAGGAAGTCCTGTGGGAAGTCTAGGCAGTAAGGCTGGGTGATGTACAGTGTGACAAAGCTTGGCTATGAAGAGAGCACAAAGTTACAGGTACTGATATAACATGCAGGTGTCAGCACCTAATAATTTTGATACCAGTTGAGTCATGGTATAGTATCACTGAAGTGAAGAATGGAGAGCCACTATGGAAGGATAAGAATGGATGGATGTAGCCCTATAAAATAAGGAAAATTTGCAAAGATACTGTTATATTAGAATTCTGAAACCTTCTCTGTTTAAGCCTAATTACTTGGCAATATTGTAATCTGTTTAGCATGTGAAGTAACTAACCAACACTGCCTCTTAATATTTTTATGTCAATAAAAAGGAATCTTATGACTAACTGGAAGTATTTACAAACAGCCATTGCGACATTTCTATATAGAAATAGCAAGAATTGAGTAATGTCCTGGTTTTGCTAGGATAGAGTTAATTTTCTTCTCAGTAGCTTCAATAGCTGTGTTTTGGTTTCAGTGTGGGATTTGTTATGAGAAGAACATTGATAAGGTACTAATGTTATTAGTTGCTGCTGGAGCATGAGGTCATCATGTTTGGCTAATTTGCAGGTGCAAAGGACTGGGAGGGGGAAGTGTAGTAATTAGCAAAACCCCAAATTGGCATTTGGATACACCAATGAGATATTCCATATCATATCATGTCATATTCAGTATATTAACTGGAAAGTGGGGGTTGACTGGAAAGTGGGGGTATTCTCTCAGATCACTCACTCTTCCAGGGTTGCAGTTTTGGTTTTTGGACTTGCTCTGTGCTCTGATTGCTAGCTGGGCATTGGTCAGTGGATGATGGGCAACTGCACTGGACATCACTCATTTGTATATTCTGTTATTACTGTTGTTATCATTATTATTTTATTTCAATTAGTAAATTGTTT